TTGATATTAACACTCTAATACGAATAGCCAGTCCTTCAATTAAATAAAAAATGATAACATTGCTTTAACAAATCATAAAAACTATACTTATATCTAGTATAGCAATATTTAATACCCTGTTGATGGTAGGTTTGAAAGATTTGCTATGAAGTAGTTGTTGCAACGTATATCTGATACTAAAGATGTGTTAAACACTATATGCTTCTGGAATACTTTAAGAGTAAATCACTGTTAGTATTCTGATAAAGGGCTCAATAAAACAATTAGTAAAATAAGCTCAGTATTATTCCTAGCTTTATTATACAAGGTCTAAAATATGTAGCAATTGCATTCATTCTGCTTTTTTATACAGACATCGTTCTTACAAAAAAGGTTGCTCGCGATATCATTACTTCTACTCTCATTACTTTCACTATTTTCAAGATTTAGATCTTATCCGTGGGTACACAGCCTCGAATTTCTAATTCTCTACTAAAAGATATTTATTTTTAAAAAGAAACATTATACACTGTCCTGCTTCTGTTTCTCTAGCCTCATTATCTTTCATCTTCTGCACCCTCTTCTTCTTTCTTTATCGATAAATCATCTCCATTTCTATAATCTCTATGGAGAAACAGCTGTTTCAAACAATTTCTATTTCTCGGAAGAGTATTTGAACATTTTGAGATGGCTTTAAGCGATAAAGTCTGAGGCCTTGTGAGGAGTGCATGAAGCAGAAGCATTATACGTGCAGAATAAGTGATTACGAAGGAATAACAGGAACTCTGGTTTGCAGGGGGTATTTTCCAAAATAGAATGATTAGGGTTAGCAGGTGAAGATACAAAGTATTCATCACAATGATTAATCCTTCAAAATGATATAACACGTGATTTAAAGAATCACATGATTATGACTTGGAGAAGTATGGAGTAAGGTCCGCTATTTACTTGACTTTGAATAAGTCAGTTACATTAGACAAAAAAATACTGAACATATTTCTTTTTTATATGTATTGATTGATTGATTGATTTTTATTAGCCACGCTTCCAACATACAACAATATACAAGAATAAGATATCAAAATTAAGTCAGCTTGAACAGGATAGCCCACGAAAGCTCGAGAGCATATTTCCAGTGGGGTCCCCAACATGCACGTACAAAATTAATAAGTTAAAATAGTAATATTTACAGACAGATAAAAAAAAATATCAACGTATACATTGATCATTTTGATTAAATGATATACCAATTAAGCAGAGAGGGCTTGTCTGTATATAAGTAATCGATTTAGCCTCTTTCGAAATTGAATGTAATCTCCTATACTGATTAATGCAAAATTAATAGTCCCTACATCATAATTTGATATCAGACCTAATTGACGATTGCATCCATACATGACTATCGCTTTTTCCATGGAGTTACTGAAGCTAGTAACTCCATGCTTTTCGAAGCTGGCAGATTTTTTGGGTGTTGTATTAGTGTAGATTACACGCTGATTTATTACTGTTATTTGCATACATTATATTAAATTCACAAATGCTGTCTAGGCGTTACAAATTTCACTGTAACAAACTTTAAGATATAGTGTTGTTTTCTCCAAACATTTAGTTCAAACACGAAAAGCATTTTCATCGTAGATTATAAAGTATCTACCTTAAGTTTGTGCAAAGTTAAATACTCTTTGACAAGGTGCAAATCTTCAACTTCTACATGAAACATCTGGCGGAAATCATGTTGAGCCACTGTCACAAAGCTGAACCAGGGACTTGATAGACGGCAATGTACAGAGTATGTTATCACATTGGGACTATAGAAAGCTATCATTTGATCGTTGAAGCTCTCATGAGTGTCATAAAGAGTGGGAGATAACTTCTCTTCGATAAAATAGAAGGATGGATAAGTATGAAAAGGAACAATCATCGACCAATAGAGATTTGGTTTCAGAATCCATAACAACTAAATATATAAATTCTGCCAAATCTTGGGTGGCCTTTTTTTAAAGTATGTGGTATCGCGTGCATATGGTTTCGTATATACTGTACGTCTATTTAGTTAATATATGTTTATGATAAAAACCTGGGTTAAATTTAAAAAAAGGTATACTGGATTTGAATTTGAAACCATCAGGTAAAGGATTGATACAAGATATTTTGTGACATAATGAATATGATAGAAAATAAAAACATTAATGAGATAAATATGATATGGTTATCTTGAAGGAAGAAAGCGCTTTTAGCATGCATGCAAGAGAAGCCACTTTAATGATAATACACATGTAAACCATTTAAAAGCAGGCCTGACTTTAACAAAATTACCTGATGTTGAACTCGTGATTAGCTCTTCTTTTCTTTCTCCATTTTGCGGAAAACCCCCTTCCTCCCTCTCACTCTTTGAGAATTCTTGTCTCTCGATCGCCTCACCAATGACTATGCGCACACCCGTCAAATAACTCCTCAGGAAATTGTTCTCATAATGCGGGGTATTAATCATAAATGGCGACAAAAATAGACTGGGAGAATTGTACAGGGAGAAGGAGAGAGGGAAAGGGAGAGGGAGAGAGAGGGAGGGAGAGAGAGAGCGAGAGAGAGAGAGAGAGAGAGAGAGAGAGAGAGAGAGAAAGAGAGAGAGATGAGCAGCTTCAACATGACCAAAAATAAGTACCGCATCTCCCAAGGGTCCAGCGTACCCTGTTCATTTTTCCGCAAAATGAATTAAAGGACTTTATAATGGTTCTGAAAAGTCTTTATGAGTGGCTTATCTTTTTCCTAATCTAAGCGAGATATAAAGTAAGATTTAAAGAATTATACTACCTGACTCATTTAAGTATTAGCTGTTCAATGGGCAACAGAGAATCATTAAGCTGTCATGCTATAATTTGGAAGCAATGTTTTAACACGATATATTTTTGCGGTGTGGCACTTTACCCTGCCAATCCGTAGGATGAGATTTTGTGTAAAAAATTATGATTTTATAAGATGTGGCATGCATGGGCATATTATTTTAGGGGGTGTCTAAATCACCATGATCAGACGATAAAGCGACAAACAAAGTTGTTTAAATTGAGCCATTTAATAAGTCATGTTCTACTTATATAACACGTCATTAATTCTTCTATTTTAAAGATGTTTAAATGAGTAGATATTATCACCCAAAGAGGAGGTGTAGGGTTTCCCCTTGAATCATTAAAACACAATGGTGACTCAACTTAAAAGGTCGGATTTCATTAATTACCTCTTTTCTCATCATGCATGTTTCAAAACCAACGGGTTCATCAATCGTCCTACTTTCATAACATGATCAGAAATTGAAATCATGTAAACTGTGTTGCCAAGTTTTTCGATGTATTTGCGTTTCTAAACAGGGGAGTATCCAGCATAGGATAAATCCTATACGTACGACTCAACTAATGGCCCACCTTACACCCGGGTTGCCCAGATACATTCCTCCGCTTGGGAAAGCTCCTGCCCCCTTTTTGAAAATCAATCTCTGGATACGCCGTTATCAAATATAGGGTGTCGAAAATATCAAGCATGTCAAGTAATAACATAAAAACACAGTCAAACTTGCAGAATTTTGTAACAAGTATGAAATATATTATACTTCATACACACACACGCGCACACGCACACATACATACAATATTAGAGGTGATTGATTTATGTTGTTATATTCATATAAAAATTATTTTGTTTTGGTAATTTCTATTTTCTATTATTGATTTTTGTATTTTCAATGAAGTTCTGTGAATGAAGTACAAATACAAATTGCCCTGAGTGTTAATAGATGACGGTCATCCCATTGTTACAGTATTCTCTATACCCTTTAACGTATTATTTGGCATGCAAACGACATGTGCCAATGATTATGTAATTCGGAAGATGATATCATCCCGCCATTACCTGTTCACGTGATGAGGCATGCTTACAAATGGCACCAAAAACCACCTGCCGTGAGTTTTGGTATCAAAATGAACAAAAGATGATGAAAGATTTCTTTCTTATGCATGTCCGTTCCAGATATAAATCATGATTAGTCCATTTATGTTCCCTAATGTCAATGTTAATTAGTCTTTCATACCTGCATCTTAAACTTTTTATATCCCCCTCACTTATGTATTGTCCATCATAACGTTTTATATACCCATCTCGTCTTTATGTAACACTTATGTAAATTTCTTTGGATAAACTGATCGATTCGAGTTTGACTGTACAAAAATGCCGCTCTTTATCCAAATATCACCCCGAAACGCTGAATGCTTGTTGCAGATCTTTATAAATCGACTCGGCTAAAAATGCGGTAACAAGGAAAAAAGTAGAAGGCGCATTGAGTATCCCTGTACAAGTCTTGTCTTTCTCTACATCAGTATACTCCACCCCTTTTACATCTTCTCGCTCCGTAATTATCAATCCTAACATCATACGTTTCGGACTTAACCCCAATTACACCTCCCGACAGCTGTTGAAATATGATGATGAAACTCGATATTATAGCCACAAAGCCGAAATTATTTACTTAAGGCTGAATGTGACGTCACCTATACTGATGACGTCTACGAGTGTACTTTTGATGACCTTGTACTTGAAATTGAGTTTTAGTTTGGCTTTGTCTGCTGACCATTATCAACTGAAGATAAGTCAAATCGTATTCCATTGAGGGCTCACGACAAAGCGATTTTTTTTTCCTTCTAGATTGTTTATTAAACTATTTTAACTGTAGTTTAATGGTTTATAAAGGAATAAATGAAACTTTGTAGAGCCATTGTTGCAGTTGTTCATTCGTGTAGTCCAAATAGAAGCATTAGTCCCAAGCTAACAAGAGATTTAAATGAGCAAAAATGTAGAAATGCAAAAATTGTATAAGCTTATACCTTCGTGATCAGACCGTGCTTTCTCTCTCTCTCTCTCTCTCTCTCTCTTTCGCTCTGTGCCATCAAGTAAGAGAGCAATCTGCTATACATCCTACTAAACATGGTTAACAAGTTAACATATTGCACAAACAAAACTAAATCTCTCCCACTCACCCATATTACAAGTCTTCCTCGGCTTGCCGACGTCACAATACTCCCACGTGATGACGTCAGAATGCGGCCGTGCCTCGACGAAGCACCAGGGCATGGGCCGGTCCGACCACGGGTTGCGGCAGTTGCTCTCACCCCGCGCGAGTATCTGGTCGACCAGCGGAGTGATGACCATCGAGACGTTTAGATAAGGCATGATACGGTGGCTGGACCACGGCACACAGCTGCGACCTCGGATGGTCTTGTTCACGAAGCCGTGGTAGTCCTGGCCCAACCGCATCGAGAAACACTCCTCGTCTACAGAGAATATAATGAAGAAAAGAAATTAAGGGTGGATTGATATAATTGTTCAACATCAAAAGTAGATCGCATTAAACAATCAAACTTAGCACACACGACATACACAGTTGAATGTATGGCTAAACCTTCACAGTCCTCTCGCAATCAGGGCATCACCCATTTTCTTAAAATTTGTTCCTCTTGTGTATCACAGATTCAATGGATTATCTTCTATGCTAATCATAAGCCTATTAAAATGACATCGACATTTCGTTCAGAATTTGTCTATCATTATTATTTATTCATACATTCACAACAGAGAAACTTATGGATATGTATTCTTTTCTCTTAATCAGTTCCTTGTCCACATTCGGCCTTTTGCTGTTACCTTCCAAGTCCCAAAACTAAAACTAAATCCAGAACATCTCGAAGAAAACCATCTCGAAGAAAAAAGCCCAGACACCACAACTCTACTAATGACTAGAATTGTGTTCATTTAACGTGTCGAAAATTGCAATTCAAATGATGTCTGTCTGCTATCTGCCTGTACACGTTCACCATGTTCCATCCTTGTCTCACCTCACTCTTTAGGGTGTCTATACAGGATATTGGATTTCGCTGCCTCTTCATACAGCACTACCACAACTTAATAGCATATGAAATAGGCAATAACTTAATTTAAAGCGAATTCTCGTAGTTTTTTTTCTCACTAAGTTTTGCGAGTCGCTGTATACAAGGATGACGTCATTATGTAGATTATAGTCAAAACGGTTTCCTCAAAAGGTTTAATTGTGTGTGTCTGCCATTATCCAATATATGGTTTACATATAGCATCATCTCAAAATTGTGATATCGTGCAATTGGTTTGAAAGTTTCATCTAAAGATAAATTTGAAGCGAGATTCTAGCACTAGGAACAGTATGATGATGCTGAGTTTCCCCCTAGAAATCGTCTATCATAAGCGTGTTAATTATTCGATAATCATTGTCTGTTAAAATGACTAATTAAATCTGACCGTATTTGGGTTACTAGTAGGCCTATATGAAAATGTTTAAAGAAAATATTCTAAAAATATATCTTGGTTTATCAAGACACTATCAAGCAACTAATTCCATGTTGTATATGAGTCTTTATATGGAGGGACTTTATAACCCCAATATTCTCAATTCAGAGTTCAATTAATGCTGCAGATACAGGATAAGTTTAACTTCAAGAAAACTGAATGAACACAATTATTTAATCAAAAATCAAAAGACATTTCGATATGTCCCGCTTCAAGCTATTACACGTTTCTTATGTAATCTTTTTATCATATTCCTAACACAGGATCTTTACTCTTATTCCTTTACAGCTTCAAGACATGCTGCACAGTGAGTCAATCAAATCCGGGCATCTCAGATCCTCTGATTACGTCATTGACATAACCGCAGTTTCTTGACTAATAGATATTGATGATAACACTTTGCTTACATCCATCCTCTGGGAAACATTCACAGGTCCCGTTCACGGAATGAAACGAGGTTTGATAGTTACAGAATGATTTAGGAACTCTTTTTAAACACTTTTTTTCCCTCGTGTAATATTCCAGTCTCCCATCTCACCATCCACCTACACTTTACTCAGGAAAACATAGAAAAACCTAAAAGGAGTCTATCTTTCCTTTCTTTAGCGGTTAATCTATGTTCGTACAGACTACAAAGCATTTTGACTAGATGACAACAATATCTGAAAAAAGAAAACGTGGAAGACCCAATCATGAATTGTCTTTATGTCTTATCAATGTAATATATCACGTAAATACCACAAATTTTCATTCATAAACGAACAATAAGACGAACCCTATGAACCTTATCATGTTCATGTAATTTGTTCAAATTGGCTACATAAAATACCTCCCATAAAAGGTTCTGGGTTGCTTGGCTTTTATGTTCTTATCATGGATCAGCAAATGTTCAAACTCATCAATCTCATGTTCATCATCGGATGATACACACTTTACAAACTTTCAAAATGAAAAGTCACTCGATGTGGAGGCGTATGAAAAGTTCAACAGTTTATGAAAACACCACCCCTCCCTTTCCTTCACCCCTCCTCTCCATCACGTAGAGAGATATACATGTATGCACGTCCATCTATGAGTAATATTGGTGGTGGGTGTGTGCGTATGTGTGTGTGCGTGTGTGTCCCTGTACGTCGTGTGGGTGTGCGTGTATGGTGATTTTTATGGGACATACAATACCGTCTTGTAATTGCCCATAGCTTTAACGAAAATAGTTGTGATCGTGTTGGTGATCGTCTTTTGAAATATATGGTAAAATTGTTGTGATGATGATTGAATTAAGGCTATTAAAATCATAAGCGTGGCTATTTAAGGGGCGAAAAATAAACCAAGGATTAGCTGTAACAAGTGTTGAAACATTGGATAATCTTTAAGATCACTGTTAATCCACGGATTAAGAAAATGGATCAGGGCGCTACCGAACAGGTACATTCAGATTTCAGCCACTCAACACAATGTCGAGTTTCTCCTTGTAGCTAGAGAGTGAGTCATGGACTTTGTGGTGAGTTCTACAGGCCTTATCCAGGTGAGCTTCATGACAGCATATCGCCTGCGATTCACATTCTTCATGTTCCCATATAACAATGTTAATTTATTTTTTTAACCGTTCACAGGGGCGTAGCCACCAAAACTTTGGATGGGTGTCTGGCAAAATCGTGAAACAAGTCAGCGGGAAAATTTCCAACGATTCATATAGCCATAAAATCGAAGAAAATACATCAATGCTTATATCAGAACAAGGATGAATAGAAATAATTCTTAACTTATCGATTAGACTTAAATCGACTTTGAAGGAGCATTATTCTTTATTGATGCACAATAAACGTAGAGATTATCAGCTTTTTCCCAAAGCAAAGTTTTATTCTGTTCAGAACTTCCCAGGGTATGGTATGTAAACTCATCGCGTATCACTCTCATCATTTCATGTGATTTGAACTGCAGCAAAAAGTTTCACCCTTCTTTACAGCTGAAACACGACAACTACACATCGAATTTAGCCCCAAACTTTACCAAAACACATTGGGAACGAGTATCACTCAGCGCATGATGACGCACTGAATATAAACCCGACGGTTATTTACTTTTTCATCCTACATTTCAGAATGCATTAGAAGGAAGATGCTATCTTTTGGGCTTCAGTCAATTCAATTTGACACCCTCAATTTCTCTTGGGTTGTACTCTTGTCCGAGACATTTCAACAAACAGACAAAGTCACACCTTTCGTGTAAGTCTACAAGATATGTGTGTCTCTTTCTTTCTTCACGTGAAGTTCTTAAAGGATGTAGTTATGCTAACCAATATTTGAATACTAATCATTACCTTTTCAATCACACGTAGATCTTACAGTAGGAAATAAATAGTACGTTCTACTCTCTCAGTAATTCTGTTTTTCGTACAGGTGAGCGTAGACCAAATACAATATGAATCTTGAAAATAATTATTAGGCCTTATTAGGCCTACAATCTTAATATATTATTTTTTTGGAATGATGCTCGAGATTTTAGTATCCTTAAAAGGTTTCAAACTTAATCAATCAATTATTCCCGGTTATTTGGGATAAATTTGCCTTCACACATAATATATAGATTTGTATTGGTAATTTTACATTTAACTACTAAGTAGGCTACTTCGTATGCTCATTGCTCTAAGCATATTGGACACTTGAAACAAAAGTATGATTGAAAGAACGGATCTCACATCGCACTACTTTTCATGCAGTTGGAGAAGGGTTACGTTTATGCCCCTTTCTTCTTACCCCTTAAAGTGTTCAGTCTGTGTCTAAATCTGGAAGCGGGTCCGTCTTATATAGAGCATTAAATTGAATTCATTGCAGTTGATTGGGAGCTATCAACCTCGTCATTGGATTACACGGCCAGCTTGCTGAATGATGATACTACATGATAGAGGAGCTTGAACCCCAGAGAGGGGTAGATAGGGGTCACGTGATGTGCCCCTTCTACAACAGGTGGATAAGAAGAGATCTCTATTATTATACTTTCATTGCCAAGTAAAACAATATGCAAATATAATGACATCTTGGACAACTCTCTCTGAGCAGTCATCCATCTTGGACATAACACAGCTATTATCCAACAATTCCAACATCTGATGATTGTACAACCCTTTCATCATCTTAAAAAACTACCACTGGCAACTGCCATCGAGGTTTACCATTACCATCTTAATCGTTTATAATACCATCTGTTTAAAAAAATACCCCGATAGACCGGCTCCATTGTAACCGTCCAGTGGTAGTTGTCTGGATAGTTACTTCGAGATATAATTTACTTAGCAGAAACGTCGAATTAATGGTTTGATGGTTTGTTTGTGTTACCTGACTGCTATAAAAGCATGCTTATAAGTAAGCAACCAGGAGACCAACTGTTTTAAGTCCTATTCAAGGGACTTGGTTATACGGATAAATGCCTTGCCAAAGGACACTAACCGGCACTACCACATCGATTTGATTTCGAACCCTGGATATAGCCTACCAGTTACGAGACAAGTGCTTTGTGAGTGCGTTCATGTAATAAGTAATGTTTGAATTAGGACAGATTATTAGGAATTAGAAAGTTAGCTCGCTTACCTGGCATGCACTTGTTTTTCTGCAGCTCCCAGCCCTCACAACATGTGTAGAGCGACTCCCGACTGAAATGAAAATATAAAGGAAAGAATATGGATTAATAGATTAATCTATAGAATAAGTTATGAGAGTATGAGTAGTAAATAGGTTTACCCCTGGCAAATTAACATTTTTATTTGGGACTTAATACTTCAACATCAAACTTTCTTACAAAAGTGAAAAATCATTTATCGATCTGTTGAACACATTCACGTATATACTAAAGAATAAAATACTTTCAAAATCTGTTTATGATTATCAGTTTCTGCGACTTTCATAAACTACGTTTACAAGACGGGTATGATTACTAAATAAATGAAGAAGTAATGATACCATGAGCTTACTAGTAAGCTACACTTCGGTATAAATTCATTCAGCTTGATTATAGGTCAAATGCAATGACTGTCGCATCAGCAGATAAAGTTTCAATTGGCAAAATGTGATATGGTGAAAATTTAATCTTTTTTTCAACAATTTTCTTTCTAGAAGATTACAGTTCACTATAAAAAAAAATAGTCTGTCTAGATTACGATTTAACTAATATCAGCATGAACGAAATCTTACGATAAAAAACAAGATGACCAGGGCCTCGTTGCACAAAACTTACCATTGATGGTAACTTTGCCATCAATGGTAACTACCATGAAAACCTTGATTTTGATTGGCTGTTGAGCCCTGTTACCATGGATGGGGGAAATATTTTGTTTCATTCCTACAGAGGGAAGTGACGATTATCAAGCAATTTGCCCCGGAGATATAGTGGAAGACAGTAAATTAATAACATCCTCTTCAAATTAATTTACCGTCTCTGATTACTGTCATCTTAAGAAGCCGCCGTTATTTCATCTTGTCGCAAAACTGATTATATGATGATCACTCATATCATACAGTTTGTTAGTTGAACAAGCATTCGAAATATTCATTGTCTCTTCACAAAGATCTCTATCTGAATCTTTGCTACCGCGCCACACACATTTAGAGTTATTATTTTTTTTTTTTTAATCTACAACCTGTTTAATCCAGATGCACTCTTATCGGTAATTCAAGATTAAAGTCTTTCGGAAAGAAGAGTTTATTTAAGACTTCCGCGAACAGTCACAATGAAACTATAGTTAATCTAATCAATTTTTGGATATAATTTCATCTCCTTTTAATTTTTTCCTTTTTCTATAAGTTATTGCACAAGGAATAACAGGAAATACTGATAATGCTCTCATTTAGTAGAGCTTTCCTTCAGAAAATTAAAATGAAATACGATATCGTACATATTTTAATAACTAAAATCGGATATACATGATTACCACATTTTCCCAAGCTTCCCATTTGACTTTTACTTTTTTTTTTATTCAATACATTCTCCGATGTTATGGAATTGACTTTTTTAAAGGTAAAAGCAATATAGAATTTCAAAAAGGGAAATCTAAGAAAGATTGATAGAAAACTAATGCATTTTATGGAGTTTTGGTTATCTTGCTTGTCGTGAATTAACGGAAATCCTCGAAAAGTTTTTGCCAAAACAATATAAAAGTATTGAGTACATGAACCTAAAAACTGACACAACCTTCTACAACCAATAGATACCTAAACAAACAGAATTACACCAATCATATTATTTGTAAGCTTTACGAAATTTACTCCACCCCGGAAACAAATAATTTCGTGTATTTTTATGATTCTCCTAGAATCAATTTCTAGACAATTACAAACACTGCCAAGTAGTTTGTACACCTGTTGTCTTCAAGCTACTACAGGGGTCGCTATAGTATAGGGTCAAGCGGGGAAACCTTTTCCCCTCGTAGATCTTGGATGCCTGCCATGAGGGGGAAAGGGGTTCAGGTAAGTCCGTCTGTAACAGTGTTTCCACCTTGATGCTTTGTTCATGGTATGGAACCGTGTAGAATTCTTGTTTTGTATTCAGTCTCCAGCATACACGAAAGGAAAAGCATACTTACTGTGACTAAATAGTAATATTCTTGTTGTAGTTCTTGTTTTCCTGTGTATAATCATGCTAGACTGCAGACTGAATGATAATTCTATTTACTATAATCAATATTGCACATGAATTTGAACTAAGTGTCTATGACAAATATTACCACTCTAAAATGGTTTCTTCCAAATGTTTTTTAATTTCTTATTTTATTCTTCAAAGCTTTTTCACAAGATATATTTTCCAATATGAAAACGAGGGTTTCGGAGCCTGCTGCGGAATTTTACATTTTACCAAATGTTCTTGTATTGCTTTATATCTTAATTCATCTTATCTATCTTTATATCCACAATCCCTGTCGTCCAATTACTTCCCCCTTTTGTATGATTTTTCTTTCTTTGGTTTTTATTCTTGCTATAAAATTTACGCCCCTCAAACAACAGTGGAATGCTATTCAACCCGTATACATTCATTCCTCCCTTAAACATCAACATTGCGTCACCAACTATGAATAAAAGCAAAATAACGAAAGTGTATGTTTCTTTCAACTAATTCCGACACGAAACAAACAATGAGCCATTTTTATACAGGATGACAGAATCAAGAGCCGAAAATATCAAAATCCAATGAATCATTGAATACGAATGCTAAAATGGTAACTGTACATCTACCCCCGTTCAAGGTTGACTGGCTATATGTGGACTTAAAGTGGATTTACTCATTTTGAATGAAAAGTTCATGCTTTAAATTGTTGATGACATTATTTTGGAGCCATTTACGGTAAACCGCGGGGCATAAGAGTTACGTGCAGCGATTGTTATGCGTTGGTTAATTACGTCCTTCCGAATTAGCAGGCTGTAATCAGAACATTAAAACCTTAACACATTCATCATGTTCGTTGTGGCGAACAAGTTGGTCACATCTTAACTGTGTATTTGGCAGGATAACTAATCACTTTCGTCCATTGGTAGTATCACAGTCTCCGATAATTACAATAGTAAAACGAATAGAATATCATATATGTAGCAAATGAAAGTTATACACTTGAAACTTAAGAATACGAAAAGTAAATATCTTGACTTAGAGATAACATTTTACACTGAAGAGAGTATCACAGCAAAAGATCATAGTTGGAACATAATCTGAAAGACAGTTTCCCCTCCCAATCCATCTTTAAATATGTATTCTTGATTTTTCTCATTCCATCGTTGCATAACCTTAATAATTTTGTCTATCATCATGATCATTAGAGAATTAGAGATCACTATTAATATTGTGATGTATTTATTTTGAAATTTAAATATTCAGGCTTACTATACACTGCGTATAGGATGAGCTAAATTTAAGAGTGCCACTGCTGCCGCAATCTTCTTTCTATTGCCTCTTATCTTATACCATCCTTTAATTCATACCTTAAGGTGGGTTTCTAGAATACAAGATTGTAAGATTGTAAAGAAGTTTTGGTTTCTACGAGAGGCAGCGCAACTGCACAACTGGTTAATGCACTCTTTCGTACTCCACATTTTGAGCAGAGAAAACTAGTTCACATTGAAACTCGGTCGTTGCACTTTCTTTTCGTCAAAAATATTATGTTTTAATGATTTAGTGAATTATGAATGCAGTTATACTTGGCAACACATTTGCGAATTTACTGATCCGGAATGCAACAAGATACCGATAAAATTAAAGCTTGTTCTCTGATCTCTGTTCCGATTTTGATTCTATCTATAAAGGAATGTATAGGTCTAATTATTCTATCATGTTTTCTATTGTCTTTATAGGCCTCGTCTAAAGGAGAGGGGAAAACAAAAATTACATGTGATATATTCTAAAGCCTCTCAATATTTCATTTCATTTTAACAAAATAGTTATTGGATTTGAAAGCTGATACAATGATATCAACAGAGATTTGAATTTTATTGAAAGTTTCCAAATATGCAGTCTGGAAATATATATATATATATATATATATTTAAAAATCTTACTTCTTCAGAACAGAAGAACTGTCATTTCATGTTATGGATTGACCATTAAACAAACCGTTAGTAAATTTTTTAGAATCCTTGTGAATATAAAATGAATAAATACTATCAAAGCAGCAGGGAGATTTGATTCACTACTCCACAGTTTGCGCACATACTAAATAATGTTCACTTGATTAGAAGTACGTGATTTGGTTAGATAAAACGGAGTGTGAAAATAGGACTTAGTTCACCGACATATATGGTTGCAGTGCAAATTGATTTCAACCATATGATTTGAAGAAATAATTTCATTTTCATCTCTACTTGTGGAATTAAATTAGATCAGACACATTCAAGTTATCATGGTGTTAAAATAAGTAGCTCCGAGATTAATTCTCAATGTATGAAAGCGATGTAACATTTAATCCCCTGTTCCAGGCCACATGGCTTGAAGACTGTTTGGAAGTAAACAACCATGTGTCTTCCTACGCAACCGTGCTAAGTATGTTCTAGATGCCTATCACTACAGGAATACATGCACAAACTAGGGTTTCGATTCTTTCTAAAGTTCAGGTTGTAGTTTTTTAAACTGAGTTATAGTCCTTTCTCTACTGTAAACAAAATTGTTTTTATTAAACATCATACCTGTTCAGCCTCATTCTATAATACCTTTACTATGAATACTGAAAGCAATATTACAATTTCTAGTTCCTCTTTTAATTCCAATTAAACATGTAATGTCAGCATACCTGGTGCAATATGTATAGACCGACTAGTTCTCCCTCCTCTCTTTTTACTACAATGTGGCCTCTACTTTAACTTTTTTTTTTAATTTCGTATACTTATTAGTATCACACTTTTCGATATGCAAGTAAGAATTTAAATTAAATAAGTGTTACAATCATTACCTCTATTGTTTTAATTTTTAAAATCAGATATGCAATTCTGAACACAATAAACTAAATATGCATTATCGACCGAATGTCCTGAGCTATACAGATTTTGTTTAATTCAGCTTTTCAAGAATATTTATTAGAGAGGCCGCTAGAATGACGATGAGTACACAAACAAGTCTCTCCGTTTGGGAGGGGCAATTTCCATGGTCCTGGCTACATCTACAGTCCACTGCGAATTT